GGCCATAAAGGGATGGACATGATCAGAAACAATGCTCAGGTAGGCCGTGGCATTTAAACAATGCCCAATTGGCACCAAGGGGCCTAAAGTGTGCCAAGAAAACATCCCCCACATCAATACACCACCAGCCTGCACAGTGGTAACAAGGCATGATGGATCCATGTTCTCATTCTGTTTACGCCAAATTCTGACTCTACCATCTGAATGTCTCAACAGAAATCGAGACTCATCAGACCAGGCAACATTTTTCCAGTCTTCAACTGTCCAATTTTGGTGAGCTCTTGCAAATTGTAGCTTTTTTTTTTCCTATTTGTAGTGGAGTTGTACCCGGTGGGATCTTCTGGTGTTGTAGCCCATCCGCTTCAAGGTTGTGCGTGTTGTGGCTTCACAAATGCTTTGCTGCATGCCTCGGTTGTAATGAGTTAATGAGGTTATTTCAGTCAAAGTTGCTCTTCTATCAGCTTGAATCAGTCGGCCCATTCTCCTCTGACCTCTAGCATCAACAAGGCATTTTCGCCCACAGGACTGCCGCATACTGGATGTTTTTCCCTTTTCACACCATTCTTTGTAAACCCTAGAAATGGTTGTGCGTGAAAATCCCAGTAAGTGAGACGATTGTGAAATACTCAGACCGGCCCGTCTGGCACCAACAATCATGCCACGCTCAAAATTGCTTAAATCACCTTTCTTTCCCATTCTGACATTCAGTTTGGAGTTCAGGAGATTGTCATGACCAGGACCACACCCCTAAATGCATTGAAGCAACGTCATGTGATGAAATGAAGTAAATCATGCAGGCGTACTCTAAAATAAGAGGTCAGTAGTGTGAGAGCTCAGGAGTGTGTCACTCGTGCATGTGGAATAAATATAAAGAAGTGTTAGCGTTGTGTCATATTCGTACCGACCGATAACAACGCACTGAAAATGAGTCGCCCCATGTCTTACCTGGGGAACACCAAAGTGTCAATGTGTGGATGACATCTTTGAATGACAGATACAAAGTCAAACCAGAACAGTGTTAATTTCGTCGACGAAAACTGACGAAAAATGTTCGTTAACAACCTTTTTTCCATGACTAAGACGTGACTAAATCTATTCTAACTTTCGTTAACGAGATGAGCCGAAAAGGTTGGTTGTCGACGAAGTCACAATACTTTTTTCCCCTAAATTTGCATGCAGCTAACAGACAACAGACAGGAAAAGTACGGCCCCGTACGGCGGATATTAACGTGTCATGATGACGTCATCCACGAAACCCAGAACGCTCGCGCACATCGGTGCAGTGGTGGTTCTTGTGCACCAATTACGGACCGTGACGACTATTTTACGGTTCGGCGAGTTTGAATGTGCACTTCCTTAGTTTAGCTCAGCTATCTCGGTTTAGCTGTAGACTGTTAGAAGGCTGAAGCCGCGGTGCTTCAGAGAAAGATGTGCGTGGAGATGAAGACCTGTTTAACAGCTCGGGGCTGTTCGGCAGACTGTCGGCCAGCAGAGATCTATGCGGACCTTTCTTCTCTGTTCTCTGGCGACGGGAGGCAGCGTTTCCTTGGGTGGATGAGACGGTCCGTTACAGGCTTCTCCAAACACGTCTAACATAATAAACTCATTGCAGGTTCTGAAGCCTCACGCATTGACCGTGAGACACACGCATTTCAACTATAGTTCACACGCCACATCGTGAGAAGACGTTGTTAAACCATCTCGGCCACCGTACGTTCGTTACTAAGCAACATAGAGGCGCACACACGTGACAGGTGGATCCTTTTGATAGAACTGCGCAGTGCAGGTGAAAGATGTGGCGGCACAGAGCAGGTGGAGGAAAACCCGCAAGACACAAGAGAGAAGAACTGGTTATGAAACCAAAAAATAAACAAAGAGAAAGAAAAGACTGTTGAATGAAAAGTGGCTGGTTTATGATACAGCCAAGAAAATAATGTATTGCAACGATTGTAGGACGTTAAGGGGTCTCTTTAGTTGGGACAAGCAATTTCACAGTGGAAACAATAAAGGACCATGAAGTTTCCGGTGGCCATGTCAAAAGCATTGCAAGTAAACAGACAAAGATAAACAAAGTGTTGCGTTTAGTTCCCTGGTCCTCATAAAGTTGTTACACCCTTGCCAATTAGTTAAATTGCCTTGCAAATAAATGCTTTGCTGTTTGTTCAAAGCCAAATCCTTTCATGTAATGATTTTTCACATGTCATTTATATCCGCTCACACAACCATCTTTTCTTGGCCCGGCACCTCTGTCAAATTTTATAACCCATTGTGGCCCACGAGTCAAAACGTTTGCCGACCCCTGCTATAGACCTGTCCTAGGAGGGATATCTAATGGACAACCAAGTACTGCAAGCTAGACTACCATGCAGTTATAGACACAACACAGGGGGCCTGAGAAGGGAAGAAAAGGAGTTTAATATGGCTATTAAAGGGTTAGGGTTAGAATTAAAACTAATTACATTTTTGTCTAGTTTTCGTCGACTAAAAACTAGACTAAAACTAAGAAGGATAAAATTACTAAATGGGACTAAAACTAATATGCATTTTCGTCTAAAGACTAAATCAAAAATAGCTGCCAAAATTAACACTGGACCAGAAACACCAGACTTTGAGCAGATGTGTTTGGCTGATTTCGCAGCTTACTTACAGAATTTTCTATGGCCAGCTGAAAAAGGGAAGAGGTTGTCCTCAATGAGATGGGATTTGTGCAAAAGAGTAAAAACGATAAGCCTGCTATATAATATATATATATATATATATATATATATATATATATATATATATATATATATATATATTTTATATACACTCAGAGGTTAGGTCCTCAAGATCACACTGGGTGAATTTGAAAAGAATTGGGTTTAATCCCTGGGAGGAGTTCGGTCTTTTACAACTCATGCGAATCATGAAAATAGGCCAAAAGGCAGATTTTCAACGATTAATAGCAGCGGCCCCTATTCTTCAAATATTCAAAAAAATCAGGGTGTGTTCAGGGGTTCAATGTTCACATGTGTTACAAGTTTGGTGAGAGCAGGCCAAATCATTTGGAGTCTTGCAAGATTAAGCCACACCCCTTGCGAAGTTCATTAGCCCATATCTTCTCAAAACAAGAAGACATCAACAAGATATTGAGGGGGCAGGGGAATCCAATAATGATCCACAGAAAGTTGTGTGACAATCGGACATAGTGTTTAGGAGAAATGGCCCAAAACGTGTTTTTCACAAAATTCAAAATGGCGGAAAATCTAGTTAGGGCATTTGCATACCATGATTGACTTTTTTTTGTAGAGCATGTTCAAGAGCACATGTGTGCCAAATTTCAAGTCAATCGGACATCAGGGGCGGAAATTGGCCTAGTGGGGTACTTTTTTACCTATCTAGGGGGCGCTATTGAGACAAAATTATCAAATCTTTCACCAGTTCTACTATGCGTGCCAAATGTAACACATTTTTGAACATGATAAAGGCCTCAGAAAGGGAAAATTCCTTAGAGAAAAAAATAATAATAATTCCTTGAAATACAATGGGTTCTTCTACGACTAGTCGTTGCTGTCGGGGGAGAATATGTTGAGCTGCATATTGTGAGTCTCTCAAGAACTCATGTGGGAAATCTTGGGAAACTCGTGACCTGACCAAGTCCACGATGGCATCCAGGTTTCCAGATAAGAACAGGATATGGTCTGTCCAGGCCCTATCTCCTTCCGTCCATTTCTGTCTGTCAAATACAAAAGTATCTTGAACTTTCTTTGTGATTAAGTATTCATTACTAACTAGAATATAGAAAAATGATAAATACAGAAATCATCAGCACAAGCCGTAAGTACAGACAGAAGTCAAATGACTACAATTCAGCTGAAAAGGGTTCCTTCACCCAAAAGGACCAGGAAGATCTGACAAAGTTTCTGGGGGAGAGCAGGAGCTTTCATGCATCTCTGAAGGTTCGAGGAAGAGGGAAGAGGAAGACCCCCCCAGCCCCCCCCAATTAAGGGAGATTAGTGGTAAACAGATGTCGCTTGGGAACATCCATGACCCCCTCTTAATGGGACATTATTATATTTGACAGACAGAAATGGACGGAAGGACATAAGAACAGGATATGGTCTGTCCAGGCCCCATCTGGAAACCTGGATGCCATCGTGGTCAGGTCACAGGTTTCCCAAGATTTCCCACATACGAGTTCCTGAGACACTCATAGAGGACCCTAATGATCCCGAGAGCCCTGCCGCGCATTTGGAGCGTTTCAGGCGACGCTAAAGACTCGCAACTCGTTCAGGGTGAACGTACAAGAGTACTACATAGAAAAAACATAACCCATATAATAGTAACTGAGGTCCCCCTCCCCGCCACACAAAACACCTACCAAAACGGGGTGAGAGATCCTCTTGGAAATATGCAAACGTTATGAAAATGTATGCTTTTTGAACAACTTGCAGCTTTTTCGGTCTGCTAATTTAGATCGAATTCAGATTGTAGTTTTGTTCAGAAAACTAGGGAAAAAGTGGTAAAAATATCTCTTTTGCCCCCCAGTAGCTGGTAGGTCGATATAGAATACAGAAGACATTAATAACACTTGAGCGTATGCAAGAGCACAATATATACATGTTGTCAAGTAATGGATGGATTGGGTTTTCCGCCGTTTAAAGAAAGTGAGGTGTGAAGTGGTTTTGGCGAAAGGCAGTTTTGCTCAGCCGCACTTGACCCCTTTTCCTGGCATTCCTGGTGCCTGCTGTCCTACCCTGTGCCATGCGGGTATGCATATCTTTCCAATCAGATGACTGGACTGGACTCAAAGTGCCACTCTTCCATCCCCCACTTTACTAGTAGCTGCCTGCTGATGTTTTGACCACAGAAACACTCTGCATTACTCCTGCCTCCTTAAGGAAGTACAGCGGAGAGCTGAACGAAACCTACACTTACTTTGAAATCTGTAGGTGAAAGGTCTGCATGAGATTGTAATAAACATAGCATAGGCATTAAGCAAGGGTAAATGTTTGGCGTACCTCCACAGTGAGCTCTCCAGCACTTTGGTGGAGTCAGCATGATAGTACTTGGTCAGGATCAGGATTACCTATAACACAAAGTAGAGAAGAAAGATACGTTTAGGCTGCTAGTGGAGAAAATTGGTCAGGACAGTAATTCTTAAAGTAGGAGGTGTGTCTCTAGAGAAGGGAATGATAAAGCAACCCTGTGCCCTGATGCAAGCATAGCTTTATTGCTAACCTGAAGTTAAACCATTTGACTTATTTTTCCTGTTACTTTCCTTAATATTGTCAAAGACTGATAAACATAAAACAGCCTAGGCAAAAATTGGATTACAGAAAAGGATTTAGAGCAACTGAGTTAGGAAATGAAATCAGGTCACATGCTACGTAGGCTTTTCAAATAGTATAGTAGAGTATGTATCAAAGCAAATACCAACAACCAGTAAAATTTTGACACCACATAAAAAAATAATAATAATGTATTAAATTAATCTTGATATATATTTTTTTCCAAGTAATTTGCCACAATTTGGAATTCTGCAAATATGTACATAAAGAAATATTTTAATCAATGGTGACTTCAATTTTTTTTTATGAAAATCGATTGGCACTCTGCAAACATATTGCAGTTGTAGGCACTAGACTTGAGGGAATGTTTTTAATAAATACCTATATTTTATATGAGTTTGACAAATGTCATAAATAAAATGTTTAGATGCATTATTAATGCATGGGCTAGGCTAACGATGTGATTGAGAGGCTTGTTTGCAGTCCTTGGTTATTAAACAAAAACGGCCTTTGGCATATGGGAGTTGATCAGCCAACAGGGGCTACCAGGAGGCAGCTGGTCGTGTTGAAGGTGTGCTGCGAACTTTTAGTGACAGGTACACTCATGCAAAGAAAGCAGTCTGTGACACCATATTCACTGCAGTAATAGTACATGATTATAGAGCTTAATTTTTTCGGTGACTTGCAGAACAAGCACATGCAAATTCCACAGTCTCCGTGACCTTTTTTGACAGTTTGTGTGTCCTCTGAGGAAACGAAAAATAGCTTTAAGAGGTAAATATTTGTCTGTTTTCATTGTCAAATACAATAAAATATGTGCCTGACTTCATATATCTGCTGCAAGGCCAATTATTTTATCAAATATATTTTTATCCTGTTAAGTAAAAAAAATCCTGTTACTACGTAGAGCCTTATTAAAGACTTTCGTATGCCCACGTGTCAGAGATCAAGACAACTACCATCAAAGCCTGCAACCCCAATGGAGTTTGGCTTCCGATTATGTACTGTTTACAAATGGGAACAGAGAACATTCAGCTATAAAAATCACCTCTCACTCACCAATAGGTCAAACCCAAACAATTTTAACTCCAATATTTGGTTTGAAAAGAAAAACTAACCCTGATTCTTAAGCTTGATTAAACTTATGCCTAGCAGTCATTTCTCAGTTCAATCAATTCCTCTTTGGTGAAAGTCAGTGAAGAGAAACTAAGCTCTGAAAGGTATTGTTTCATCAGTCCTGTGAGAATGAGATATTCATCACTCATCCGAAGGCTTGTGTCAATAAACTATTCTGGCTCTCTATCCATATGTTAAGATTCCAAAGAATAGGTTCAATTGTAAATACATTCATCACTTAGGATATAGCAGAAAAGTGAAGGATGTGGTCGGCCATAAATCACTAGTGGCAGGAGGCGGAGAAAGTGTTTATTTGGCAGCATCAAACCTCGCCACATTGATAAAATAGCACAGAAGCCAGAAGTCTCTACGGCCTCTCATGCACAGAGGAGCGTTTTTAATAGTACTGTCAACATAAATAAATCTATGCAATTAATGTGGCCGAATTAATGCAACAAAATATTTTAACGCAGTTAACTTGTTTGTTTACGGAGATAAACCAAAGGTTGACTGCGTTAACGAAACTGCCGCTAACTGCAGTCAGTTACATTAAGATGGAGAGAGCTTTTTGCATTAGAAGTAAAACGAACAGGCGCGACATACAGAGAAGAACTGTGCTGAGGAATTACTCCACGTGTCAAACAGAAGGGGGGTGAGTGGCAAATAGACCACTTAAAGCACCACTATGCTAAGCTAGCTTCTGTGCTACTTCCAACTCAATGTCTAACGTTACCCTGCGCAGCAGTCTGCAGAGGACCACCACTGTGTCCATAAAAGACAGTGGTTTGTAAAGGTCCTGGCTAAATGTGGGGAGATTTTTGGCATGTTAAGAGGCATGTTGAGAACAAAGTGCACGTGGACAGCAGGAAGAGTAGCTAGTTGAACATGTTCCATCAGGTATAATTCTCCCTCCAAGATGATCAAATGTGTGTAGTTTTGTTTAAAATAACATTAACAATTAAACATCAGTGTCTAAAATACACGTTTTCTAAAGTTACTTTAGATTTAGTCTTTAGAAGAAAAACAAATTCATTAAAAACAACATTGTAACAACAACATTCATTAATCGCCATGAATGAATTTCAAAATGTGCGATTAATTAGTTAATTTATTATTATAAATAATTTATTATTATTTATCTATTGACAGCTCTAGTTTTTAACACGAAAACTTGCTTCTACCTACTACTCATTGGACTAAAGGGAAACATTGGTAAGGAGTATCCAACCAGGGAGTTAAGAAAAACTGCCCACTTTATTCAAGAAAGGCCATGCCATGAAGTTGGTTTTAACAAAGATTCGGTTGAGGGAAAGAAAAGTGACCCATAGAACCAGAAAGACAGAGTCTAGACAGGAAAGCAGACACAATTTAAAGACACAAATTGGATGTGGACAGTGTTGTGACACCAGGGCCCTGTTCCTCGTACGTGGTTCAACTAAGTCGATCAAATGGAGAACTCTCACCTTATAAAACGTTACTCTAACTGATATCGCTCCGTCATCCAGCAGCTTGAATGAACCTGCTCTGGAGCAGGCTCAAGTTTTTCAATGTGTGGCTATGTGGTGATTTAGCCAAACCTGATTCGGGAAAACCGAAAAGCCTGATCTATGTCATCTCATCCTCAAAATTATCCGGCTAACTAAGTTATCCACGTACGAGGAACAGGGCCCAGCTTTGAGGGTTTTCGACAAGCATATAAAGCAAAAGAGCAATGTAGTCTCATAACATTTAAGGATTTTAAAGGCAGTCAATGCTTTTATCTAGGTTATTATCCATTCTGTGTTCAATTAATAGTTAAGTGCTCACCACCTGTGTTTCTGTACCTTTTTTAAATACTCAACAGAACTCAACTGTTTTCTCATGTACTTTGCAGCCCCAGTGAACGTTCTTTGCAAAGAAGAGAGCTTAAAAAGTCTGTTCATTTCAGTATTTAATAAACTCAAAGTAAGGTTTGGCAGTTTTTCCACCACAGGACAAATCCTGTGAAAATGTTTTAGGTGTAGGGCATTACTTGTTTTTCACATACATCCACACATAAGGCATATGCTTTTTTTTAAACTTGTATGACCATTAATAGACAGATTCATTTCATTTAAATATAAAACTCATTATGTCAAAGTTAACGATTTAAACTGTGTTATTATTGAGGCAAAGATTAATGCTGTTTACTTAACACAAAACCAAGGCGTGCCTTCAGTCAGTTAGACCGAGACGGTGAAGAGAGTAAATCAAACAGGCACGATATACAGCAGAGAACTGTGCAGAGGAATTCCTCAACGTCTCAAACAGAAGGGGGATGAGTGGCAAACGGACCACTTAAGGCACTGCTAGTGCATGTTGGTAGCTTCTAGGTTACATCTCAACATCTATCCTGCGTGGCAGTCTGCAGAGGACCTATACTGTGGAAAACATCCCGACAAAATTTCGGGAGCTTGTGGGCCACTTCGAACGCGTGATGGAGAGTTGAGAGCAGAGGAAAGTGCACGAAGACAGCAGAAAGAGTCGCTTGTTCCACCCGATGGAGTTCTGTCTTGACGATGATCAAATTTGTGTTGTTTAAAAAAAATACAATTAAAGTGTTTAGAAGACACAATTTCTAAAGTGATTACTCGTTAATTTAGAAGATAAGTGTAACCCACAATAAGAGTTAGTATCTCTAAAAACAAACTTAATAGTGATTAATCTAGATTAATTGATTTCAAAATGTGAAATGAATTACTAACGTTAAATCTATTGGTAGCCCTGGTTTTAAATGTTAAAATAAATAATAGGCCGACTGCTAAGTTAAAAAAAATGTTTGCTATCATAAGAATCACTCAATTGAAAAACTGTAAAGTCAGGAAAACTAGGACAACAGCATTGTCTCATTTGCAGCATAGTTTCCATTAATCTATAAAATTTAATTTCTGAAAAAAATGGTCATTGGACCTGAAATGTACCCCAATTTGCCAGATTCCATATCTGTACAACAGAGGCAAGGAGTACGTTACAATGACCCTGATAAGTACCAGGATAAGGAACAGCAGAATGTAATCATTTAATCCCTAAAACCTAAATTATTTGTGAAATGAGGAAGGGATGATTTTGCCTTTGAGCATCTTCCTTTGATTTTAGTCTCCAATTCGGTAAGTAATTGGACCGACAGGAATGATTGACTTGAATTCCTTAGATGTGTGATAATCCACTGCGGGGAGCCTGAGGCCTTTGGGATGGAGAAAGAGAGTGTAGGGCGAGGGAGAAGAAGCAATAAAGAGACATACTGTATGATAAATAAGAGGAGATGAAAGGAAGGATGTGAGAGACCAAGAGACAAAGACAAGGGTTTATAATAGATGGGAGGGAAGACGCTGCATGAAACAAAGACAGAAAATAATATTTACAGTTTGAGAACGACCAAAAAGGATGAAGAGAAAGGGGAAGGGCTAGAGATTCATGGTGGAGAAAAACAAGTAAAGGCTTAAAATAGGACATGGAAATTTGGGGTGTGAAGGCTGCAAGGGGGATGGTAATCAATGAAGCCGAGGGATTGAGCTTTCTGGCCCTCAAATCTGTCTATTGATCAGAGCATCTTACTAGTGGAGAAGATTTGTTCAGACAGGGCTGCTGAACCGCAAACCCAACAACCTGGCTCTACGTAATCAGTGGTTCTCTTTAAAAAGGAAACCTATTCAGGTTCATCATC